TGTAAAGTAAGACTTTACAAACAATTTTTTCACTCAAAAACTAAAGTGAGTGGAAAGTTGAAATTTTGAGGTTTTTTTCCTAATAATTCAATGTAAAAGATACTAAAAACTCAAAGCGATTGAGCTATTATTAATGGGGTTACGATTTTTTGAAAATAATGATGTTTTGTAAAGTAATACTTTACAAACAATTTTTTCACTCAAAAACTAAAGTGAGTGGAAAGTTGAAATTTTGAGGACTTCTTCCTAATAGTTCAATGTAAAAGATACTAAAAACTCAAAGCGATTGAGCTATTATTAATTGAGTTACGATTTTTTGAAAATAATGATGTTTTGTAAAGTAATACTTTACAAACAATTTTTTCACTCAAAAACTAAAGTGAGTGGAAAGTTGAAATTTTTGAGGACTTCTTCCTAATAATTCAATGTAAAAGATACTAAAAACTCAAAGCGATTGAGCTATTATTAATTGAGTTACGATTTTTTGAAAATAATGATGTTTTGTAAAGTAATACTTTACAAACAATTTTTTCACTCAAAAACTAAAGTGAGTGGAAAGTTGAAATTTTGAGGACTTCTTCCTAATAATTCAATGTAAAAGATACTAAAAACTCAAAGCGATTGAGCTATTATTAATTGAGTTACGATTTTTTGAAAATAATGATGTTTTGTAAAGTAATACTTTACAAACAATTTTTTCACTCAAAAACTAAAGTGAGTGGAAAGTTGAAATTTTTAGGACTTTTTCCTAATGATTCACCGTAAAAAATACCAAAAACCCAAAGCGATTGAATGATTATTAATGGAGTTTCGATTTTTTGAAAATAATGATATTTTGTAAAGTAAGACTTTACAAACAATTTTTTCACTCAAAAACTAAAGTGAGTGGAAAGTTGAAATTTTGAGGTTTTTTTCCTAATAATTCAATGTAAAAGATACTAAAAACTCAAAGCGATTGAGCTATTATTAATGGAGTTACGATTTTTTGAAAATAATGATGTTTTGTAAAGTAATACTTTACAAACAATTTTTTCACTCAAAAACTAAAGTGAGTGGAAAGTTGAAATTTTGAGGACTTTTTCCTAATGATTCAATGTAAAAGATACCAAAAACTCAACGCGATTGAGCTATTATTAATTGAGTTACGATTTTTTGAAAATAATGATGTTTTGTAAAGTAATACTTTACAAACAATTTTTTCACTCAAAAACTAAAGTGAGTGGAAAGTTGAAATTTTGAGGACTTCTTCCTAATAATTCAATGTAAAAGATACTAAAAACTCAAAGCGATTGAGCTATTATTAATTGAGTTACGATTTTTTGAAAATAATGATGTTTTGTAAAGTAATACTTTACAAACAATTTTTTCACTCAAAAACTAAAGTGAGTGGAAAGTTGAAATTTTGAGGACTTCTTCCTAATAATTCAATGTAAAAGATACTAAAAACTCAAAGCGATTGAGTTATTATTAATGGATTTACGATTTTTTGAAAATAATGATGTTTTGTAATGTAAGACTTTACCAATAATTTTCTCACTCAAAAACTAAAGTGAGTGAAAAGTTGAAATTTTGAGGACTTTTTGCTAATGATTCAATGTTGAAGATACCAAAAACTCAAAGCGATTGAGCTATTATTAATGGAGTTACGATTTTTTGAAAATAATGATGTTTTGTAAAGTAAGACTTTACAAACAATTTTTTCACTCAAAAACTAAAGTGAGTGTAAAGTTGACATTTTGAGGACTTTTTCCTAATGATTCAATGTAAAAAATACCAAAAACTCAAAGCGATTGAGTTATTAATAATGGAGTTACGATTTTTTGAAAATAATGATGTTTTGTAAAGTAAGACTTTACAAACTATTTTTTCACTCAAAAACTAAAGTGAGTGGAAAGTTGAAATTTTGTGAGAAACTCATTATAGGCAAATTTCAAAATTTTCCAATGAAAAATCACTTCAGGAAAAATTCTGAAATATTGACTTTTTTAAGCTAAATTAAGAAAATTCATCATCTTATATTTTAATTGTTTTCAGGAAAACTGGCGAACAGAAAAATGTGAAATTTTTTTTCAGGAAAGAGAGAAAAATGAGGAGCTCATCAAAGGAAAATTTCAAAATTTTCCAGTGAAAAATCACTCTAGGAAAAATTCTGGAAAATTGACTTTCTTAAGCTAAATTAAAGGATATTCACCATCTATACATTTTAATATTTTTCTGAAAAACTGGAAAGGGGAAAAATTTGAAATTTTTGAAGAAGAAAGAGAAAAGTCAGGAGCTCATTATAGGAAAATTTCAACATTTTTCAGTGAAAAATCATTTCAGGAAAAATTCTGGAAAATTGACTTTTTCAACCAAAATTAAGGGAAATACACCATCTTGTATTTTAATTGTTTTTTGGAAAACTGGCAAAGGGAATATTGTGAAATTTTTACAGGAAAATGAGGAAAGTGAGGAGCTCATCATAGAAAAATTTCAAAATTTTTCAGTGAAAAATCACTTCAGGAAAAATTCTGAATAATTGACTTTTTTAAGCTAAATTAAGGAAAATTCATCATCCTTATATTTTAATTGTTTTTTGGAAAACTGGCAAAGGGAATATTGTGAAATTTTTACAGGAAAAAGAGGAAGGTGAGGAACTCATCACAGGAAAATTTCAAAATTTTCCAGTGGAAAATCACTCCAGGAAAAATTCTGGGAGATTGACTTTTTTAGGCAAAATTCACCCTCTCTTACATTTTAATTTTTTTTGTGGGAAACTGGCAAAAGGATAATTGTGGAAAATTTTCAGAAAAAAGAGGAAAATATAGAGCTCATTATAGCAAAATTTTAAAATTTTCGAATGAAAAAACACTCCATAAAAATTTTTGGAAAATTGACTTATTTAAGCAAAATTAAGAAAAATTCACCTTTTACATTTTAATTTTTTTCTGGAAAATTGGCAGAGGGAAAATTTTTAAAATTTTCCATAAAAAAGAGGAAAGTGAGGAGCTCATTACAGGGAAATTTCGAAATTTTTCAGTTAGAAATCACTTTAGGGAAAATTGACTTTTTCAAGTAAAATTAAGGAAAACTCATCCTCTCACATTTTAATTTATTTCTGGAAAACTAATACAGCAAAACTTGTGAAATTTTTCCAGGAGGTAGAAGAAAATAAGGAGCTCATTATAGGAAAATTTCAAAATTTTCTAGTGAAAAATCACTCCAGGAAAAATTCTGAAAAATTGACTTTTTCAAGTAAAATTAATAAGGAAAATTGACCCTCTTACATTTAAATTTTTTTCTGGAAAACTTGCAAAGGGAAAATTTCGAAAATTTTCCAGGAATAAGAGGAAAATGATGAGCACATTTTGCGACAATTTTAAAATTTTTCAATGAAAAATCACTCCAGGGAAAATTTTGAAAAACTAACTTTTTTAAGCAAAATTAAGGAGAATTTACCCCTACATTTTAATTTTTTTTTAGCAAACAGAGGGAAAATTGTGAAATTTTTCCAGAAGTAAGAGAAAAGTGAGGAGCTCATTATAGGAAAAATTTTAAAATTTTCCAGTGCAAAATCACTCCGGGAAAAATTCTGGGAAATTGACTTTTTTAGGCAAAATTAAGGAAAATTTACCCTCTTACATTTTAATTTTTTTCTAGGAAACTGGCAAAAGGAAAATTGTGAAAATTTTCCAGAATAAAGAGGAAAGTGAAGAGCTCATTATAGCAAAATTTTAAAAATTTTCAATGAAAAATCACTCCATAAAAAATTCTGGAAAATTGATTTATTTAAGTAAGCAAAATTAAGGAAAATTCATCCTTTTATATTTAATTTTTTCTGGAAAACTGGCAGAGGGAAAACTTTGAAAATTTTCCAGGAAAAAGAGGAAAGTAAGGAGCTCATTATAGAGAAATTTCGAAATTTTCCAATGAAAAATCATTCCAGGAAAAATTCAAAGAAAATTGACTTATTTAGGCGAAATTAAGGAAAATTCATTCTCTTACATTTTAATTTTTTTCTGGAAAAATGGTAACGGGAAAATTTTGACATTTTTACAGGAGAAAGAGGAAAGTGAGGAGCTTATTAGAGGAAAATTTCAAAATTTTCTAGTGAAAAATCACTCCAGATATATTTTCGAATAACTGAATAAACTCTATTCTAAGTTAAAAAATGTATTACAAAACAATAATTCCGAAGATGCTCTATGAATTAATCTATGACTTAACTTTTTCTCTAAGTTATGACGTCATCGATGACGTAAGTAAAAACCTTCGTGCCGTGCAACGAACTATAATATGTTTTTTTGAAATTTCAGACATAAAAAAACCTATTTAAAAAAAAAAAAGGCAAATAATGACGTAAGTAAAAACCTTCAATTTGCTGTGACTTGAACCAACGAGAAAAGATAAAACTGTGATTTTTGGACAGATAAAGTTTACCTAACTGAAGAGGCTCAAAAATCACACCTAGAGCTGAAATGTCAACTAGAAATTAACGAAAAATCCTATTACCAGCTCTACTAAACCCAAAATCGAAATATAGATAAAAATTTAACATTGATTTCTACTAGGTAATGCCAAAACTTTTTTCAGAAATAGGTACTTTCTATGAAAACTATGGTCACATTAATTCTGTATTCGAAAATCAATTTCCAAATTCGTGAAGTAGTGCATTACGAATTCCCGACACACAAACAAAAGGGTCCGAAGACAAAAACCCACCCTTTCCTGGGACCTTAAATACGGTACACAGGTTTAAGTTTAAATAGGATTGTCAGACCGGGAGACAACAACAAGCAAAACCGTTTGTTCTTCGAACTTGTCCTGTCCACCTCCCCCTGTTTACTTAAATTAACCCTCGAGTTCGAAATTAATTGTTTATCTCTTTGGCCTATATATAAAATTTTTCGGCCATTTTCCATGGTCTACAAGAGACAAAACAAATATAATAACCCAGCGGGGGAGACTCCTAAAATGTTTCAAGACAAAGATAAAAGTATTTTTCTAGGAAATTAAAACACTTTTCGACTAAAACACTTTTATTGACAAATATCACAGATTTGTTCAGACTTATTTTATTTAACATATGACTTTACAGGGTGGCTGTAAATTGTTTTTAATCAGACACCCTGTAAGGGCTAACAAAATCTGAGTTTTTTTTTTTGAGTCACCCTGTTAAAACTGTACATAATATTCTGTTAAATTATTCTAAATAGGTACATATAACATTTAATTTAATTTTAAAATTGTATAATTAAGCATTATGAGTTTCTATATATGGATTCAAGTCCATATAAGAATAATTTAAGCATACAGCGATTATATATATTTGATTCAAAATCCTATATATTATTATAAATTATTTACAATTTAATCTAATAATAATAACATTCACATAAAATACTGCTGGGCAAATTACAAATAAACCAGGTCTTCATCTTTGGACGCAATTATAAGTTCTAATTAAGTGATAGTAGGTCAAAATCGGGTAGCTGAAGCTGGACGAGGAAGGGTCGACCTTAAACCCTCAATATCTACCCTCAAAGTCTGAAAAAATTAAGCTAAAATTTCAAGTTTTAAGTAAGTTCCAGCATTTTACCGGTCCAAGTAAAGGTATCTCAGCACCGTCCGGTAAAATTATTTGTTCGGTCCTCAAAGGACGCAAATGGGGATGGTGCAAAGTCTGAAAACCGCCCTGTGATGTCCGCGCCATGTCTAGTTGAGCGTACACAGTCGGCTCTGGACGTCGTATCAACGTCGGGGGTTGGTTGTAGATCATTTGGTTGTTCAATGAAAGTTCCGCGTAGGTAACTTCGTTGTTCTAGAATTTTAAGTGACTTCTAAGGGCCATATTCTCCATAGTTCAATAGTGAAAAAGCTTGGGTTTTTGTGTGACAAAGCCAAACTTTTCTACTAAGCCAGGCTTTATGAACTAGGGAGAATATAGCCCTATAAGTACCTATGTAATATTGGAAATTTTTTATCAATAATTGAAAATTTAGATGTAAAACAACCAAGTGAAGGAAAAAAATTTGAATCTTCTTGCATGTGCAGAGGAAGGTTAGAAGCTCATTTTCCCAAAATTACAAATTTTTCCAGTGAGAAATAACAACATGAAGAATCTTGGAAATCCACCTACAATAACTGGGTTAATTGAAAATACAGTCTCACACATTTCAAAGTTATAAAACTAGCGGAGGAAAAAATTTGAAACTATTTGCATATGCAGAGGAAGGTTAGAGGATCATTTTCCCAAAATTTGAAATTTTTCCAGTGAAAAATAATAAGATGAAGAATCTTGGAAACCAACCTACAATAACTGAATTAGTTGAAAATACAGTCTTACACATTTCAAAGTTTTTCTGGAAAATTAATTAAGGGAGAATTCTGAAACTTTTTACATGTAAAGAGGAAGATTAGAAGTCCATTTTCCCAAGATTTCAAAGTTTTTCAGTGAAAAACAACAACATGAAGAATCTTGGAAATCAGCCTACAAAAACTGGAATAATTGAAAATACAGTCTCACACATTTTAAAGTTTTACTGGAAAACTGGTGACGAGAAAAATTTGAAACTTTTTGCATATGAAGAGGAAGGTTAGAGGCTCATTTTCTCAAAATTTCAAATTTTTCCAGGGAAAAATAACATCATGAGAATTCTTGGAAATCAACTCACAATGAGTGATTTAATTGAAAATACAGACTCACACAATTCAATTTTTTTCTGGAAAACTAATGGAGGAAAAATTTTGAAATTTTTCACGTGTAAAGAGGAAGGTTAGAGGCTTATTTTTCAAAAATTTCAAATTTTCTAGTGGAAAATAACATCATGAAAAATCATGGAAATCAACTTACAATAACTGAACTAATTGAAAATACAGTCCCACACATTTCAAAGTTTTTCTGGAAAACTGATAGAGGGACAATTTTGAAACTTTTTACATGCAAAGAGGAAACTTAGGAGCTCATTTTCCCAAAATTTCAATTTTTTCCAATAGTTAATAACAACGAACGGTGTTTCACCCCTATGCCATTATTTGCTGGACTATCGGCTCTAGGAGCTTTGAGTGGAGGTGCTGCTGGTATTGCAAAAGCAGTAAATGATGTTAAAACGATCTTAAATCAAAATATTTCATAATGTTGCACAAATTTTGCAAGAAACCAAATGTTGCACACCCTCTTCCGAGAAACTACAGCCGGTTTTCAAATAGGGGACAAACTTTCAAAGCGTCTATCAAATTTGTTATTTATATTTTGCACACCTTTGTGGAAAATGTTTCTCATATACTTCAACCATACTTAACATTTCTTTTACTGTTATATTCTAATAATTTTCAAATTGAATATAATGTCCACTTACTTCTTGCCTGTATCCCCCATTCGGTATTTGATTCTGGTAAACCCTTATCGGACAATGTTGTTCTTCATTCGAATTCTGAGGAATAATGTCCGGGTTTTTCTCTTCTAAACTATCCACGCTACCACTAAGGGTATTTTTCGATGGACTAATAGCCTGCCAAAATATTTCAAAGTTTGATTCACTATTACTTTTTCCACAGAAATCACAAACCAGTAAAAGTGTTTTTGATTGATCCAAATACTATTTTGAACCAATGAAATTCACTCGATGGGCTTGTAATTTCTGTAAAAATAGACCTTATACACTGTATATTACCTTATTGTTATCAGTATTATTGACAGACGCGACGCATCTACGTTCTGCGATGCCCCAATCGTCATTGTCCTTGTCATCTCTGTCGTTGCTTCCGCGCAGTCTTATGACTATGACGATTATGACTGCTATTAGTATTAGAGCTGCTATGGCTCCTATTAGGGCTCCTAGGAGAGGGGTGATTTCGAGTAGAATTGGAGAAGAAGCTGAAAAATCAGTAAATTATGTCATACCATTATAAACCAGAAACTTTGCAAAGTAATGACTTAAAGACTAACAATCTGAAGAGTCTTTAGAGAAGATTCAGGAAATTTTCAGTTGCACTGGATCAGATTTCAGGATCTTAAATTTAGGGAATTTTTTGGTAGAATCATCAAAAAATTTCCAAGCTTTGTAAGATTAAGGTTTTAAAAGTTCTAAGAATCTGAAAATTTTGAGGATCTTTTCATAAAAAAACCAGAAACTTTGCAAAGTAATGACTCAGTGATTCGGAATTTGCAGAGTCTTCTTAGAGAAGATTCAGGAAATTTGCAGAGCAATGCCTCAGAGTTCAGGATCCAAAGTTTTTTTCATCAAAATATTCAGAGTTTGTAGAATAAAAGTCCCAAAAAAAACCAGAACATTTTCAAAAACGATTCAGTTTCTAAGAATCTAATGCCTCGAACCAGTTGCAAAATGATTCAGGATCTTGAGACTATTTTTAGAGCAGAACAATTCAAATATCACTTACCTGTTCTTTTCTCAGCTCCTTTCAACGTAAACCCCGACAACCGAGTCAAACCACTCCGACCTTTACTATTAACCGAGTACAAACTTATATCGAACCCCATACCACTTTCCAAGCCGGTAACCACAAACACCGGCACTTTTGACGTCACATTGCTCACTAACTTTCTGAGCTGAGTCTCGTACATTTCCATCACGAATACTTGAGGCAAACCTCCGTCGAAACCTTCCGAACACTCAACATAGACTGCTTCAGAGGTTTGATTAGATACTGAACAATTGGACGGTGCACTTGGTTTACCTGAGAAAAAATTACAAATTAAATGAGCAGATGGTTTACAATTCAAATTACTACCAGCAGAAATTATATAGTAAACGCAAGGCTCTTGTTGCATTCCAATTTCATTTCTGGCCCAACATAATAAGGCCCCATAATCTTGCTCGGTTATCGGTTTAAACATTGCAATGCTTCTTGATTTTTCACTTAATATCTACAACAATGAAAATTGATGTTCCAAAACCGTTTGTGCTATACTACTTACTTGACTTTGTGGTATTTGAAAAGCATCAACCGAATTATTAAATTTCCAAATGAATTGTACATCCCTTATGGGATTCGCTTCGACTTCGCAAGCGATTTTAGCCGTTTCGTGCCTGGCCACGCCAAAAACTTTTTGTTGTCCCGGCCTACAAACAGGAGCGACTGCAAAAAGGTAAAATTTTAAACATTTTTTCTTTGTATGTTGTATGGAATTTTTACATTTTACGTCTAAAAGGACCAAATTGCTGACGCCGTCGCCTTCTTGATTGTGACCGACGCAAGTGTAATGGCCGGATTGTGCCACGGTTACTGATTGCAGCACTAGGCTTTGATTCGTTACGATAATGCCCGCTGCTAAATTGTTGTACAATTGTTTGCCCTGGAATTTTTATATTGAGTTATAGTGGGGTGCCAGTCACTCGAAATTAGGATTTCTATGATGGGGAGTAAAGTATCACAAGCTCAATTGTTATTGTATTGAAAACTGATTCTAAAACCGAAGGAAATCTAAAATAGGATAGATAGATAGATAAAGGTTATTCTTTCTACTTTATCAATAATTAAAAATTCAGATGTAAAGCAACCAAAAAGTAGAATTATTTCTATTATTAGAACAATCATTATACCATTATTTGCTGGATTATGTGCTCTAGGAGCGTTAGGTGGAGGTACTGCTGATATAGCAAAAGAAGTGAATGATGCTAAAACGATCTTAGAACAAAATATGTCATAATTTTGCATATTTATTTTAGTTTAGATATACATTTTAACCCCAGGAACCATATACGATTTATCTGATGAATCTGGGATACTCAGTAATATGAGCCCGAAGGGCCGGAGTTATACCCGAGCCCGAATGGCTAGAGTTATTTTATTCCAAGGTTTTCTTTTTTATTTTCTTGCTCATCAAAGTTGTAAATTAAAAAATATCTGTCTTTCAACTCGAGAAACTTTAAAATCTTCAGCAGCAAAATTTGCAATCGTTTTGACAGTTTGACACCAGCGGAAGAATTTTCAAAAAAAAAAAACGAGATTTTGCATTTTGAGGTCATTTGTAGTACTCGTTACTCTCTATTCAATGATATCAATATCTAATTTTTTGATTCAGCGTCATTTACTGATTTTGCTATACCAGCAGCGCCCCCTCTCAACGCTCCTAGCGCAGATAATCCAGCAAATAATAGGATAAGGGATGAAATTTCTCCTGTTTTAGGTAAAGGAATTACTTTTTTGGTTGTTTCACATCTAAATTTTCAATTATTGATAAAGTTACCAACCGACTAAAACCCTGTCCGCTCTTAGACTTTGGACATTTGAACCATGTAAACATTACTTCAAATGGTGGCAAGTCTATGTGTCTGGCCTAATCGGGAAATTCCTGAATGGCTTTACTCTCTTCTTGAATTTTTTGTTTTAGTGTTCTACTAACTATGATCTTGTATCTAATGATCTCTGTAGACTAACCCAAACTTATCAATACTAACCTAAGCTTACCAATACTAACTTGGAGTATCCCAAACTAACCCAAAATAAGATACATGACTCACAATTTTTCATTTTGGTTCAGAGACATGTGCTGCGCGACAACTGTTCATATTAAGCTGTAGAAACCTTACGGGTCTAGGGTTCCGTATGATAGTCTAAGTCATTTTCTACAGATTTTAACCCAATTCTAAAGTCTCCATTGCTCATTGGCAGCTTCAGCGTCATTTACTACTTTTGCTATACCAGCAGCACCTCCACTCAAAGCTCCTAGAGCAGATAGTTCAGCAAATAATGGGATAAGGAGTGAAATACCTCCTGTTTTAAGTTTAGGAATAACTTTTTTGGTTGTTTTACATCTAAATTTCCAATTATTGATAAAGTAGTTGAGCGACTGAAACCCTGTCCCTTCTTAAATTTTGACCACGCCATTTGGAACTGTGTAAATATTACTTCAAATGGTGGCGAATCTGTGTGTCTGGCCTAATCGGAAAATTCCTGAGTGGCTTTGCTCTCTTCTTCAATTTTCTCTTTCAGTATTCCACTAACCATGGTGTCTATAGTGTTCCAACTTTGTAGCCAATAAAATACATGACTCACAAGTTTTCGTTTTGAGATATGAGCTCCACGACAACTGTTCATATTCAGCTGTAGAAATCTCAGGGGTCTAGGGTTTTGTGTGATGGTCTAAGTTATAATTGTGAGGCATTTTCTAAAGATTTTAACCCAATTCTAAAGTCGCCATTGCCGATTGGCAGCTTCAGCGTCAATTACTGCTTTAGCTATACCAGCAGCACCTCCACCCAAAGCTCCTAGAGCAGATAGTCCAGCAAATAATGGGATAAGGGGTGAAACACCTGCTGTTTTAGGTTTAGTAATAACTCTTTTGGTTGTTTCACATCTAAATTTCCAATTATTGATAAAGTAGTTGACTGACTGAAACCCTGTCCCTCTTTAAGCTTAGACCACGCCATTTGGAACTGTGTAAACATTACTTCAAATGTTGGCGAATCTGTGTGTCTAGTCTAATCGGGAAATTCCTAACTGGTTTTGCTCTCTTCTTCAATTTTTGTCTTTCAGTATTCTACTAACCATGGTCTCTATAGTGTTCCAACTTTGTAGCCAATAAAATACATGACTCTCAATTTTTTGTTTTAGTTCAGAGATATGAGCTGCACGACTACTGTTCATATTCAGCTAGGGGTCTAGGGTTTTGCGTGACGGTCTAAGTTATAATTGTGTGGCATTTTCTACAGATTTTAACCCAATTCTAAAATCTCCAGCACCTCCACTTAAAGCTCCTAGAGCAGATAATCCAGCAAATAATGGAATACGTCTTGTTTTAGGAATATGAATAATTCTTTTTAGTTGCTTTACTAACAATTGTGATACTTTGCCCCCTACAGAATTCACTTACGTTATGTCTCCAACTGATTTTATACACCCAAGGATTCGATTTAATATTGCACTCGAAATAAACATCCAATCCTTCTCTGATTGTGCTACCATTTAAAGTGCTGCCCAGTTCCAATGTGACCAAAGGAATATCTGCAATAATTTCATAATTTAAAATTCTCGCATCCGAAAAGTTGAAAGTTTTACGATTATGACCGTCGAGTTGTTATGCTAAAATTAAACTTCGGTTGTAAAACTTTATTGTAGCTTACGATATATGTCCAATTTCCAACCGTCCTCTATACCACTTTCTGGTATGAGCGGTTGCTGGCCGCGACAGGAAAGATATTTTCCGGCGTCTTCCACTGTTGGATCAAATGTTAAGATGCTCGTAGTCGTATTACCGTCTGAACTTGTCTGAAAATAAAAAATAAATTTAATGGAGTGGATTAAAATATAGGTATTAGGAAAATGGTTCCTTCGATAATTTTTATCACGTTTCGTCGCACCCTGCCGGGGCTTTTATGACGATTTTTTATAACCCTTTAATTTTTCCCTTCATTTGCGCCCCATCGGCAGAAGCGAATCTGATGTCTACGGAATTGGGATTTTTTTTTTTATTCGCAAATTTATTTACGCTACGGGTCGTTAGCTTTTTGGGATATTTTGCGGTAATTTTATGGGAAAATTCGATTGGAATTATTGATAAAATTATGTTTTTCTTGTGGATTTGAAATTTTTATACAAAGCGATTCAGGTCAAGAGTTAATTAAATGATTTGAGTGAGGACTTGATTGAAGAATTCTCAAAAAAGTATTAGAGCTATAGAACTCAATTTAGCACAGAAAATATAAAAATTTCGATTTTTTTCATGGGTTGCCCTATTTGAATTTTTATTTCAAAATCTTTAAGCTTCAATATCATAAAATTTGTGGGAGATATTGAATCAAAATTCTCAGGAGTTGTAGCTCCTATTAAGCTCTAGAAAACCTGTATAGAAAAATATGATGATGATGACGTAATCACTTCGGTCATAAGCTTGACATGCGCAAAACGGTCCCTGCTCGGGTGCCAAATTTATAGCGCTTCTTTGGTTTTCCGGACGGTTGAGGGGTTTTCGGAAAACTCGGGCCCACCCTAAGGATTATAGTGGTAAAAGGCCCAAGTGCTTGTTACAGTGGAGATGGAAAACCAGAGGTCAATATGCGCATCCCCAAAATGAAACATACAATCCAACTAACAAGTTAGAGTTTTCATTTGCCTAATAACAGATATAAGGAAGTGTATAATTTATTTCGATTTGTTCAAAGTGGCAAGCTACAATCCAACGAGAAAAATCCTGTACAAAATAATCCGTGAAAAATACATCTCATCTTAATCCAATCAACATTTGCAACAGCAACACCAAAACAAATCAAAAGTTTTCAAGAAAAATGAGTTAGACGAGACCCAATTTCGATGTGAAAAGTAACTCTTTTTGACTTTGTTTAGAGATGAATAACTAAAATATTCTTTAACATTGAAATAAAAAAACTGAAATTGTCCATAGGTAAGCTCGTTCTGACAGGTACCGATATATCATTCTTATTATACACAAAAATATCGGTTTCTCATGCATGCAATATAACTGGAAAGGGGATTTTCTCCACTTCCTTGTACCCCTTGAAAAAAATATGGGGGATACCTAATAAAACACCGGGCCAGGAATGATATACGTGTTAAGTTGGATCAGGGACTTAACTAGGTCACGTACACGTAGTATATTTTCATATTTTTAGTCGGAGAAACTCGAAAAAGTTTGCAGATGATGGTTTCGATTTGATTAAAATCAGTCTAATGAGGTGTGACGTGAACAAATTGGCTGAAACATCTTATTATTATTACGAAGAAGCTAAAAAGAAAATACATTTTTTTCCCCTCGGTAAATTCACAAAGGGAATTTGCCGCAGCAATTTTGTATATGAAATATTTGTGACAAAAATGTAAAACTTAATAAAGGATAATATATATGGGGCTGAAAATTACACAATAAATTCCCATTGGAAAAAGATTAACGATCATTTATTGAATTGTAAAATGGGATAATTTTTCACTCACCGTTTCTCTTGTAGTTTTCATTTGCACGCTACCCTTCCACCATGTTATCGTAGGTTCTGGACGCGAACCCACAACTTCGCATTCGAGCTCGTAAGTATGATCGGCCGATAATGGTTTGTTCGCCCCTTGAAGTTTTACCCAAAGAGGTTTCACTATAAAACAAATAAAAATTTAAAACTTCAAATTGCATTGTTGTAATTAAAGCCCGGTCGATTCCGATTTAGTCGAATAAGCTCCAATTAAACCGGATACTGACAATATAAAATATTGGGCGAAAAATTTAAATAACAATCACAAATGCAAATTGCATAAAACCGACTGCATATATAAAGCAAATTTCAAACTTCAATTTGGTCCTTTTATGCGGCGCCGTCCCTCCTCTACTCCCTATATACCCCGAATGTAAAGCCTTTTATATTTAAATTGTTGCTAGAGGAACTACGATTACAAAGTACAAAATTGGCCGTTTTCGAATTTACTTGTAAATGATCCAAAAATACTACAGCATATTGAGAACAGGAAACAGTGGAGCATGTTTTAATAATTCAAGTTGAAGTTATAGAAAACTCAGAATTAGAAAAAAATGATGATGAGCTGGCAGGCTTTAAAACTTTAACAAGTAGATGGTGACCCAGTGGTCACTTTCTTATGTTTAAATTTTTGTCTATTCTTGGCTCTTGAATTGTTGTTTTTTTCTATATGTCCCGCCAACATACTCTTGCTAATTTCAAATAGGAATCTTACTTGCAACCGCCGCCATATTCTTGCTACTTTTCAATATGAAATATATAGGATTTTAAAAAACCAATTACAAATAGGACAATTGTCGCCACTGTGTGTAAGAGATACAGTCCCTGGATGACAATGACGATTGACTTTTTGTCTTCTCTCTCACACTGGCAGAGACGAGATATAGTGCTGTCTCATTCGCAACCACGGGGTCAAGCCTATGATGCAGAAGGAATCATCTACCTCTACTTAGTAGACATTTTTTTTTCTATCACAGGAGCTTCAATTTTTTTTATTTAAACGCATGAATTCAAGAGCCGAGAATGGACAAAAATTTAGACGGAAAAGTTGAGCAATAGAGAGGAAATTTAAGAAAATTGAGCATAGAAATGTAGGAAAAATCAGTAGGTAGGCAAGTAGCCATAAAGGTATGTGGTTTCTCTTCCAGGCTTTCGAATTTTCTCTACTTAGAAATATGTTGAAGAAAATGTCAATTCAAGAGCCGAGAATAAACAGAAATTTAGTGATTTAATGTAAAAAATACCAAAAACTCAAAGCGATTGAGTTATTATTAATGGAGTTACGATTTATTGAAAATAATGATGTTTTGTAAAGTAACATTTTACAAACAATTGTTTCATTTAAAAAGTAAAGTGAGTGGAGAGTTGGAATTTTGAGGACTTTTTCCGAATGATTCAATGTGAAAAATACCAAAAACTCAAAGCGATTGAGTTATTATTAATGGAGTTACGATTTATTGAAAATAATGATGTTTTGTAAAGTAACATTTTACAAACAATTGTTTCATTCAAAAAGTAAAGTGAGTGGAAAGTTGAAATTTTGGGGACTTTTTCCTAATGATTCAATGTAAAAAATACCAAAAACTCAAAGCGATTGAGTTATTATTAATGGAGTTACGATTTTTTGAAAATAATGATGTTTTGTAAAGTAAGACTTTACAAACAATTTTTTCGCTCAAAAACTAAAGTGAGTGAGAAGTTGAAATTTTGGAGACTTTTTCCTAATGATTCAATGTAAAAAATACCAAAAACTCAAAGCGATTGAGTTATTATTAATTGAGTTACGATTTTTTGAAAATAATGATGTTTTGTAAAGTAAGACTTTACAAACAATTTTTTCGCTCAAAAACTAAAGTGAGTGAGAAGTTGAAATTTTGGGGACTTTTTCCTAATGATTCAATGTAAAAAATACCAAAAACTCAAAGCGATTGAGTTATTATTAATTGAGTTACGATTTTTTGAAAATAATGATGTTTTGTAAAGTAACATTTTACAAACAATTGTTTCATTCAAAAAGTAAAGTGAGTGGAAAGTTGAAATTTTGGGAACTTTTTCCTAATGATTCAATGTAAAAAATACCAAAAACTCAAAGCGATTGAGTTATTGTTAATGGAGTTACGATTTTTTGAAAATAATGATGTTTTGTAAAGTAAGACTTTATAAACAATTTTTTCACTCAAAAATTAAAGTGAGTGGAAAGTTGAAATTTTGGAGACTTTTTTCTAATGATTTAATGTGAAAAATACCAAAAACTCAAAGCGATTGAATTATTATTAATAGAGTTACGATTTTTTGAAAATAATGATGTTTTGTGAAGTAAAACTTCACAAACAATTTTTTCACTCAAAAACTAAAGTGAGTGGAAAGTTGAAATTTTGGGGACTTTTTCCTAATGATTTAATGTAAAAAATACCAAAAACTCAAAGCGATTGAGTTATTATTAATGGAGTTACGATTTTCTGAAAATAATAATGTTTTGTAAAGTAAGACTGTACAAACAATTTTTCCACTCAAAAACTGAAGTGAGTGGAAAGTTGGAATTTTGGAGACTTTTTCCTAATGATTCAATGCAAAAAATACCAAAAACCCAAAGCGATTGAGTTACTATTAATGGAGTTACGATTTTCTGAAAATAATGATGTTTTGTAAAGTAAGACTTTACAAACAGTTTTTTCACTCAAAAACTAAAGTGAGTGGAAAATTGAAATTTTCAGCACTTTTTCCTAATAATTCAATGTAAAATATACCAAAAACTCAAAGCGATTGAGTTATTATTGATGGATTTAGGATTTTTTGAAAATAATGATATTTTGTAAAGTAGGTAAGACTTTGCAAACAATTTGAGTGAGTGGAAAGTTGAAATTTTGAGAACTTTTTCCTAATGATTCAAATTCTAACAGGAAAGTTGAGCAATAGAGAGGAAATTTAGCAAAACTGAGCAAAGAAATTTAGGAAAGATCGGTAGGCAAGTAGCCATAAAGATGTGTCGTTTGTCTTCGAGGCTTTTGAATTTTCTTTACTCAGAAATATTTAGAAGAAAACGTCAATTCAAGAGCCAAGAATAGGCAAAAATTCAGACGGGAAAGTTGAGCAATAGAGAAGAAATTTAGAAAAATTGAGCAAAGAAATTTAGGAAAGATCGGTAGGCAAGTAGCCATAAAGATGTGTCGTTTGTCTTCCAGGCTTTTGAATTTGCTTTACTCAGAAATATTTAGAAGAAAACGTCAATTCAAGAGCCGAGAATAGACAAAAATTCAGACGGGAAAGTTGAGCAATAGAGAAGAAATCTAGCAAAATTGAGCAAAGAAATTTAGGAAAGATCGGTAAGCAAGTAGCCATAAAGATGTGTGGTTTCTCTTACAGGCTTTTTAATTTTCTTTACTTAGAAATATTTAGTAGAAAATATCAATTCAAGAGCCGAGAATAGACAAAAATTTTGACCAGAAAATTGAGAAATAGAGAGGAAATTTTAGTAAAGAAATTCAAGAACCTGGAACAGAAACAACATGCTCTTAGGATTAAAGTCATTAATAAACCAAGATCAAATATTTTTTGAAGATAAAGGAAACAAATATTGAGTATTTCCAATGGTTAAAAAAAAACCCAAAAGGAACATAATGTTTGTCATAAAAGTTACGTTGCACCATGACGAGATCTATGGTCTATTCTCACAAGAATCTCTGACAGTTTAAAAATTTGTCAGAAAGCATCACTCATACATGTTTTTAATGCAGTCGTTCTAAGATAAGTTGATAATTTAGCTGAGAGATTGTTTCTGACAGTTTGCAAACTGTCAGCGTCTTTTGTGAGAGCAGACCTTTAGTCGATATTTGAATCTCCATCGATTTGAACAAGATAAAAGTAAATATAAATTGTAAACTTTATCAATAAAGTTTATATAATCCATCAAACATCAATGAATAATGTTCATCATTAGATAGACAATTCAGATAATACAAGTTCATCTTATAATTAAAATTACTGAAATTCCAAAGCGAAATAAGTAATTGATTTAATTGTAGTAAGCGTTACATCAAATTAACGTTTCAGCTCTTGTCATTACCACCCTTAATGTACAAAAGAGCCTCTCTAACGTCATAAAAAGAACAAAGAAAATTTCTTATTTCGCTGATGCTTGGGGCTAGGGGCAAATTACGCAACATAAGTTACTTTTCATGGACGGCAATAACAGAGGAAACTTATGCTTTTGAAAAATTGGTAGGCTTAAGAGTGTTATTTTTACCTACCTACTCACTTTTAATTAAAACGTAATACTATATATATAAAAAAAAAATACAACGGTTTAATTTTAGATGAGGCTATCCGTCCAAAAAGATTTCCCAAGCGGATTGCAGACTTTCTTAAACTAATTGTAAGCTTAGAAGGAGCCTCACCTCTCTCAGTCTTTGAATTATTGGCTCGATTGCAAGAGTGGTTTATGTCAACTCCAAAACAATTATTTACTTTATTATTTACTATTCCCTGAAAGCACTTAAATCTTAATTAGGCAATTAGAGAAACCGTTGACTTCTGTTATGAATTTGTCTTCATTATCATTATCCTTTCTGTCAGGGATTGTTTCGAAGTAAATTATTTTAATGGAAATGATGGGTAAATAAGAAACGGGGATTTTTAGGTGAATTGTAAATATGAAGCATAATAGCGTTTTACGTAAAATTGTTTGCAATGGACAAACAAAAAAGAGGGGTATCGATAACGTCCGTCAGAGAAAACAAAAATATCCGAGCAAACATTGGAAAAATGCCATTTTAGAACAAAGGGTTTTTCTATATTGTTGCCGAACAAAATTTTAAATTCGTTTATTATTTTGTAACGATGTTACTAAATTTGTGCCCACGGTAAATTTTTGTATTAATAATTACTTTATCGCTTGAGTATAGTTTAATACACGATATTCCGGAATTGCCACGCGCTGTTTCCTACCAAATACTACAAATTTGGCGCCCGAGCAGGGACCATTCTGTGCATATCAAGCAAGTTATCACAAAAATAACGTCATCATCCGTCCTCCGTTAAAACTGTTTCTTACCTGTAAGCAACCTACTGATCGACAATCTCAGCCGCGTATGCATATTTTATATTTGAGAATCATGTATTCCAGG